GCCAAGTGCTGAGGAGGCCAAGAAACATTTTATTTCCTCTTTAAAATATTTTTTTTGTTGTTGGTTTTAAAATAGAGAAGGAAAAAAAAAACCCAAAGGAGATATTTTGGTTCTTATTGAAAAGGAAGTGAAAAAATTAGGCAAACTACAGAGAAAAAAAATAATCCTCCTGTAGGAAGGGGGAAGGTTGACTTCAATTTCTTGGGACCAAGACAATAGGGAAGCTAATTCCCCTATCCCCCCAGCACACACTCAAAGGAAGCCTTAACTACAAGTTGCTACTTTATTAGATAGTAGCTCTGCCCTCATAGCTTCCCCTCCTCATTGCCAGAATCCACCCCTAACTCTGCAACAGAAACATTCCCCAAGATTGACTGGAAAAGAGAAATTTTATCTAAAGATAATATAATTACAACCATCCAAGGGGTGATACAGAAGGCCTCTGGTAAGAAAACAGTATGCAGAAATAGCTAATAACTTTGAATTAAGAGGATATAAGAGCAACAGTAAAAGAGGGAGGAAGAAGAAACATCTGTTGACAGCAAAGTACTTAACTGTTTTACAAAAACACCACTTTCAGATAAGAAATTAGATGCTCTGATAAACTCTCAAAGTGTCATAATGACAATGCCAATTTTCAATAAAGCATTTGCCAAATTACAGCAACTGCGCTGAGGAAGGATTGGCTCTTCTAGCACTATTTGGCCTTTCCAGGTATCTCTGACCCTCTCTCACCCTAAGAAATAGGGAGTTCTACTAGCTATGCTCCCCGAAGGTATTAAACGAGGATCCCACATAAAGGAAAACAACAGCAGGGGAAGCAGCACGTTGGATTTCAAATAAGGTACCAAGAAATATTAACCACCTCTTTCTACAGATATGCCTCTTTTTCTCTGTAACATTTTCAGTCATTTAAAAGGTTACTGGCAGTGGTGCAGTAAATCCAAGTGTAGGTTTACTGCAATAGCTTTAACAATGCCACACTCACCAATAATGGCATTACTTAGGATTGCACATTCGTTATATCAAAACATCTCAAAATGCTTACAGGACATTCTCCCACAGGAGAGAAGAGATCTGGCCGCTTCTATAAAGGCAGAATATAGCAGTGGCAGACAATAAGGGAAGTTTTGTCAACAGAAAAGATATCTCAAAATAATCAGGAAAAACTGTCCCCAAATTAGGTCTGGGGAGCCACTGTAATCCATTAACTCAGAAACTCATTTCCAGTTTAGCCTTAGGGCCCTCAGTATTTCCCCTCATATGCTAAACTGCAATTTGTCTACTCAGAAAACTGAGAAATTCTAGCACGGTAACCTCCACAATCCCTATGGCAGTGCAAAATTCCAGACATTTGTAAACAATGGGCATTTTACTTTGGGCACGGGGAGAGTTTACAGGTTCCTTTATCTTCGAAGTGCAGATTCTAAACACAGCTAGTTCCTAATCTACAGCAATTTTAGCGAAGGTAACATCAGTCTTGAGAGAGCGTGTAACATCAGTCTTGATAGTGTGTGTGCGCACATGTACACTTATGAACGGGAGAACTATCAAAACCAATTCTCCTTCAGAATATGGGTCTGAACAATTGAAGGAGATAACTGACTAAATGGAAAACATTCACAGTATCTAAAGCCATATACTTTCAGAAGCTCACATAATGCTGTGGGAAAAAACCCAAATAACCGGTTAACAAGTTTCTTACTTTCTACAGAGAATCAAGAGGTAACATTACAATAACTTTGTAGAACCCAAGAACATTCACCAATTTCTCATTAATGAATTTTCAAGAGAGCCAACATTGCATTGAATTGACACACAAAAAAATGTTACAAATGAGCTTGACCTTTAAAAATAAATTCTTACAAATCAAATAATATCCCACACAGCATTATATACATCTAATATACATAAATTATAATTATTAACACAACCACATATTTCAAACGCTTGGCAGTGATTCAAGTGACACAAGTGTGTGGCAGTTTGGAGGCTGGCCTGGCTGGACTCTTATCCATTGTTCAAGGCTAGGGTTACAAACCTATATTCCACAGATGGACTGTGGAGAAATGGTATACCAGTTTAAAGGTTTGGTCTAAGATTGTGATAAAGTCTGGTTTAAGTATTAAATACAGAAGCATACAAACTACTGTTAAGTACACTGCAAGGAGGATGAGTTAATATTAAGAGACAGGAGACATTTTTAGCTGTAACAGAGAAATTCATTGTCATTCTAATGATTTGTCATCTCTGCTCTGAACTTTTTGTCCAAGAAAACATGATCATAAATATTAATTTAAATTACAACTAAAATAAGAAATCTGATGCTAATGTGGTATGGTTTCACTATTCATAAGTCTATGGCGTGATACAGCAGAAACATTGGTGGCCATATAATTTAACATCCAAATGAAGACACTTTAAAGTGAAAGGGGAGAGATGGAGACAATCAATAGGATACTGAAATGTAGGAACAAACCAGCGGTATCTCTAGAAAACCAGAGGATATGGTCCCCGTAACTACCACTAAAAGATGAATGGTAGTATTTGGCAGTCAAGCATTTCCTTATACTAGTAGACACTGAAGATTTCACATAAAAACTATGCCTTGCTTCTAGTGGCAGTAAGCAAAAACATTTGTACCATGTGGCAATGAAAAAAGAACAAAATCAAAAACAGATCAAGAAGATAGTTTAAAATTTCCTGCAGGTAAAGAAGAAGTTCGGCTCAAACCCATAGCTTAGACTGTTTTAAGCAGCAAAGTACTTAGTGCTAATGGGAACAGTGGAAAATCCAGGTGAGCAAACAGGAAGAGGAGGAAAGCTAAGTAGCATAAGAGGATTCTGTGCTGGGCAAAGATAAACCAAAATTACATCAAATATCTGAAACATAAGTAAAATGTTTAATTCTTATTTAAGTTTTACAAAAAACTGCTACTTTATATAAGGGGACAAGTACAGGCCCCCAATTCTCCCTGCCTACACTAGCAAAAGCACCTGACTGGCAAAAATAAAACAAAATTAAGGGCTATCAAACTACTATAAACAGAGTATTATTGGGGGGGAAACAGAAAATTAATTTAACTTCCTACAGTTTTAGTGCATTCGTCAATGATCTAATAAAACAATTAACTCAAAGAACTGCTTCTGTTTATTAGGGGGAAAAACTCTCCTCCCTGATGCCTAGAGAGAGCCAGAGACTTGACCTTCATTACCAAGGAAGGAGGAATACTGGAGAAAATGGTTCCTGTCTCTCTCTCCCTGTTACTTGTCTTCACAGTGGTTTCCTGATTGATAAGAAAGCCTGGCATTTACAGGCCCTTTCTCTCGTGGGAGAAAATGTTAAAAGTCACTGTTTTATCTCAAGTCTTATTTTGGCTGCAAATTATATTCTCTAAAACCACTTATTAAAAGATCTATATTTTAAGATTAGTTGTCCCAAATTCAACATGCACCATCATTTAAAATATCTAATAAATAATAAGAAGGTAACAAGTATTGTTTAAAGATTCACTAGTCAAGAGACCTGGATTCTTTGGGCTGCAAGAGGTGGCAGGTTCATATGTCCGACAAGCCCCCCCCCAAAAAAACAAAACAGACAAAACAAAAAAGAGATCTGGATTCTAATAGTAACTCTATCACTAGCTGTGTCATTTAGCCTCATATGCAAAATAAGAGGGATTGAATACATGAGTGCATTATAGTTTTAAAATTCTGTAATTTTAACAAAACTTCCTCTCTGAAAACTAACTGCAATAATAAAGGGATCTTCTTCTGTCTACTTTCTGTTTGGTGCCTAGAAAAACAGGAAGGAAAAACCCTTCCTTCTCGGACAGAGCTTCTCAGAGTGTGATCTGTAGAAAACTTCCATCAGAGCTTCCAGGAACACTAGTCCAAATGCAAATCCCTGGCCCAGACCTCAGCAATCAGTCTCTAGGGGGTTGAGCATTTTTTTGACAAGCAACTCAGGTAATTCTTATGATCCTCAAGTTTGACAATTCTGGGGCCTTGGTCTTCAAAATGACATATGCATACCCCTAAGGATACACCAAGATTTTCCCAAGGGGTAAGCAGACATGGATAGCTATAAGGAAATCAATTTAAAGATCTTCAATTTCCATATGTATTATCCTAAAATACGTGCTCTGATAATGGCCTCTTCAGATCTACCATTTCTCTATAATTCCCTTTCCACAACTAGCATACTCCAATTCTCAAAAAAAGGCTGTCTCACACGCCTTCAGAATCTTCCTGTGGGGCATTGCCTCAGGGTATAAACAACTCCACAGGCACCAAAACAAAACCTGAACAACTCCCAAGAGACAACAAGGACTAAGAGATCAAAGCAAAGAGAGCTTTGGTTAAAAATTTTGTGACTTCTCTTTTTATCTATTTATTTTAGAACTGATAATTGAGAAGGTTGTGCCAGAGACTTATGTTAATGCATTTACATGAATTAAAACTAAGACATTTTCTGATGGAAAGTTAAGTCTGATTCAGCTGAGTAATTTTAAAATGAGAACAGGCTTTGCCAGTTTACATGACAGGACTTTTTCCATAAATTTAATCAGCTAAATCTATAGCTCCAAGGCTTTGATAAAAATATCTTTAGTGGGGTGCAGTGGCTCACGCCTGGAATCCTAGCACTCTGGGAGGCAGAGGTGGGAGGATCGCTTGACCTCAGGAGTTTGAGACCAACCTGCACAAAAGTGAGAATCCAACTCTACAAAAAATAGAAAAATTAGCGGGGCGTGGTGGCACGAGCCTGTAGTCCCAGCTACTGAGGAGGCTGAGGCAAGAGGATTGCTTAAGCCCAGGAGTTTGAAGTTGCAGTGAGCTAACGATGACGCCACTGCACTCTAGTAGCCAGGGCAACAGAGTGAGACTCTGTCTCAAAAAAAAAAAAAAAAAAAAATCTTTAAAGCATATATATATAACATACAACATACTGGATAGTATATCCTTCATAAGTACTTAAATTTTTAAAATTTAGATGTCAAATTAAAGATGTGCAAAAGGAAAACTAATCTCGGGTGAGATCCATGAATGACTGAAGGCAGTCCCCAAAGGAGCATGAGGGAATAAATATTCTGGGGTTACAGAAATGTTATATAGCCTTTTTTGGGATGGTTACTCGATTTCTACAACTCACTGGAAGGGAACGCTTTATTACATGTTAATCATAGTTCAATTTTTAAAATGTGCATGGAAGAAATCTCTTTGTTTTTCAAGACTTTTTCTTTCACTTTCTCTAAACCATGCAGCCTGACTGCAACATAAAGTGATCCACAGCACTTCATAACTTGACCAATCAGATTATTTGTGTTTTCACTGTTGTTAGCTCTAATGTTTTTCTAATAGCTACTTTGGATCTTGATGCCTAAAAACATTCCTAACAGCAGGGTAGGATAATAAAATTAACTAAAGAAAGGGTTAATCTTCAAATAATTTGATAAGTGAAGGAATTAATGTATTTTTATGTTTGTCTGAGTAGTTGTTCCCTTCCAGATCCTCATCTTTGGAGGGAGAATCAAGTGACTTAGGTTAGACTTGGTGACTTAGGTTAGTTTAAAATAACTCGCTCTCAAATTTCATGTAAGTTTAGAAGCAGAAATGTCCTGTAACACAGATGTTTACATGAATAAATGAACAGTTGCGATGGGTCACACTGAGTAAAAAAATACTCAATACTGATATTCTGATACATGACCTGGCCCCCTTAATATTTCTCTGTAATTCATTGATTCAGCTATGCTATAAAAACCTTAATAACCAACTGAATCTCCTTCTTGCAAATAGGGCATGAAGCCCCGGCCTTCTTTAGTCTTCTTGCACAATGAAAACAAGTGACAAGATGGCCTGTCCTCCCATGAATAATGTTCCCGTCTCTTGGTCTTTTCTCACATAAGCTACATGGCTTCAAGAGATTCTGGCAATCCTCCATGTTTTCTGTATCTGGTCTCTGTTCAGAAAGGTTATCTGACTGTTCTCCGGTGCTTAAGATGGTCTCTTGGCTTTCAGAATTGTGAGCCAAATCCAAAAATTCCACCGAGCTGCAAGGATCAAAAAGTTTGGAGTTTTCTTCCTTTATACACACATCTTTAGGTCTAACAACTGGAGCAGAAATGGTTCTTCGGCAATCAGGGACATCAATTCCTTCATTTTCCTTCTTTTCAGGTATAGCAGTGATATCAGATGTGGACAGAGAATGCGTTAACTTAGAACAATCTGAATACCAATCCTTCCTCAAGGCCCAGCAACGAAAACAGTACCTCTTGCTTGGAGAGTTAAATTTCTTGCACTCAGTACACTGCCACTCATCCTACGAAGATAAGTGCAGCCAATTAATACTCACCTGGGGGTGAACATGATGCTGAGAAAAGGGAGGGCAGGCTGAGTTCTCATCCTCTCACGAAGCTTATGACAGTCCAGACATTCCACACCAGTGGTCTATACTAGGATCTGAGCAAATTCTACAGCCATGTGAAAGAAAGTCTTTGGAAATTTTGCATCGACAGTACCACAGTTGCCATTTCCAAGCCAAAATCTGATATGGCTACTCTTTAAGAAAGTTATCTTGGCTTTCTATCCCATCTGGGCAAAATTTACATTGTTTGATTTACCCTGCTACCCTCTTTTGGATTACTTTTTCTTTCTTTTTTTGAGACAGGGTCTCACTCTGTCACCCTGGCTAGAGTGCAATGGTGTCATCAGCACTCACTGCAACCTCAAACTCCTGGGGCTCAAGTGATCCTCCTGCCTCAGCCTCCGGAATAGCTGGGACTACAGGCGCTCGCCACCACACCCAGCTAATTTTTCTATTTTTTCTAGAGACAGGGTCTCGCTCTTGCTCAGGCTGGTCTCAAACTCTTGAGCTCAAGCAATCCTCCCGCCTGGGCCTCCCAGAATGCTAGGATTACAGGCGTGAGGCACCATGCCCGGCCTGGATTACTTTTCTTCGCACAACGTATTCCTTTATTGTGTAAAAGGCTAAAGAATGAAGACAAGATAATCTTATTCTTTCTAAGTAATTAACAAATGTTATAAAATTTGGCAAAAAGTGGCCAGGCACAGTGGCTCACACCTGTAATCCCAGCAATGTAGGAAGCCGAGGCAGGAAGATGCCTGAGGCCAGAAGTTAGAGGGCAGCCTGGACACCAAAGCAAGACCCTGTCTCCACAAAAAATAAAAAATTAGCTAGGCATGGTGGCACATGCCTAGAGCAGCCTATAGTCCCAGCTACTTGGGAGGCTGAGGTGGAAGGATCCATTGAGCCCAGAAGTTCAAGGCTGTGGTGGGCTATGAATGCACCGCTGCACTCCAGCCTGGGCAATAAAGTGAGACCCTGTCTCAAAACAAAACAAAACTGTTAAAAAGTTTTACAGATGATTAATCAGGACTAAAAAAAAACAAAAAGAAATTTAAAAAGAAAATAAGAAACTTTGGCGGTGCGCACCGTCTGAGGGAAGGACACGCTTGAAGCTCTGACTTGGGTGGGGCAAGGGCAATATACGTAACCTAAACATATGTACCCCCATAATATGCTGAAATTAAAAAAGAAGAAGAAGAAAGAAAGAAACTTTGGCAAAAAGGAACCCAAAACAAAAGAGATTTGAAGGCTACTAAATGTACTCAGACTCTCTCACTGCTCTCAGGATCACAGTTACCTAACTGTACCTAAATCACACACTCCAAAAGAAAAAAAAAAGAAACAACTAAATCACACCCTGAGAAAAATAAATGTTCTTGTCCTTGAATGCCAAGTAATCTTTCCCTACTTCTCCGTATTCCAATTAGGAGGCACATGATGTCGATGAATTTTAAATGCTTTCCTTAATTCAAAGGTAGGTACCTGGAACAAGTCAAGAGTATTTAATGTGGATAATTACCCTGGCTTTGATGGGATCAATGAGTTGACACATGCTGAACTTAATTACTTTTAGGACAAAGGCCAAGCACTCCAAGTTTAGAAGTCATAATTTAATTGTCTAGACTTGAGAGGCAGGGACACAACCATTTGTTAAACTGGGATGTTCTCCAGAGAGCCTCAAAATACTCTTTCCAGTTTAAGATTCTCCAATCTCATCTGAAATGCTATAAAAATACTCAAAAGAACTTCATAAAGATTTGGAATTCATAACTGATGGTATGCCATAGTTTAATTGGCATCAATTTTTCTTTTTTAGTAGTACATAAAATAAGACTTATTAAATTCAATGGCATCTTTGATTTGATGAAATACAGTTTGTTTGTTTAATAACTTTTCTGGGTCCAAGTAGCCATAGAAGTCTGATTAAGTTGGCAACATTTATCTCTATTTGTACTATGGTCAATAACACTTATTGGTTGGTCCAATACGTTTCACTATTACTAAGCTAGGCACAAATAATTTGCACTGAATTACCATAATGGTCAACAGTGGTGCAGTGGGGTTGGGGGGAAGAGCAGAGACTATCTAAAACTGTTTCTATCTCCAAGCAGCAAAACGTAAAATCTCCTTTTTATCCTTTCCCCACCACCCTTTTTCCCACAGTGTGTTAACTGTGAGAAGAACTAAATGAAAAGTGGGGAAACAGCATGCAAAAAGAAAAGCAAGGCATATATTTGGGTCTAGACCTGAGCTGTCAATTGGCAACAAATCCATATGTATTACCAATGTCAAATCTTCTTTAATAGGCCTCCATTAATATTAATCTGTGTGGAAATTAAGCCATTTTCCATTTGCTTCTTCTTAAGCAAGCAATGACAATATTTTTTCTTTTTTTTAAAGAGACAGAGTCTCACTCTGTTGTCCAGGCTGGAGTGCAGTGGTGTGATTATAGCGCACTGCAGCCTCGAACTCCTGGGCTGACGCAATCCTCCCATCTTAGCCTCCCGAGTAGCTGGGTGCATGCCACCATGCCTGGCTAATTTTTTTAAAAAAATTGTTGTAGAAACGAGGGGTCTCACTATATTGTCCAGGCTAGTTTCAAACTCCTGGCCCCAAGCAATCCTCCTGCCTCAGCCTCCCAAAATGCTGGGATTACAGGCATGAGCCACTGTGCCCAGCCTCAATATTATTTTTATACTCAAAAGAATTTTAGATAGCCTATAGGTCTGTCTTTGGGATTACAGAGAGGTGTTTAGTGGGGGAAAGTCGTGCAAAACTATTTTGAGTAACTCTGTGTCTCTATCACATCATGTCCAAAGAGTTTTGATGACAGCAAGAAAGGCACACAGAGGCATTTAAGTCATTCTTTTTCAAGGTAGGGAAACGATGAGATCAAATTACCCCCTTTCTTCTCAAGTTCCATTAAAAACCTCTAACAAGATGTAAAGAAACCAACATCACTTACCAACTAGGAAAGGTAGATAGAAATAGGGGGAAATGAAAATAGCACTCTTCCACACAAGTGAATTGCTAGAATAACATCATCTGAAAATGTGGCCAGAAAATTTGGCCAAATGTGGCCAAAACAGCTTTTACTAAAGATTCATACCTCAGAGGTAACTTCTATATCGGTATCATCACTTAAGGACTTAGAGTCCTCAAAGTCTTCATTTTTTTCCACTTCAGTCACCTGTGAAGGCAAAAACATCTCCTTAGTAAGGTTTACCTGCTTTACATGAGGCTCTTACCTAAAAACAGAAAAGAACAGCTTCAACTTAAAACTCACATTCTGCCTCCATCAGTAGCACTTAATGAGAGAGCTTAAATGCAAGACCAAAAACATGACTCTGTACACACACAGGTGACATTTCACTAGCACCAATGATTGAAAAGCACCCAGATGGGTTATCAAATATCTTCTGCATTCAGAAGAGAGAAGATGCCCATACTTATGACTTTAAAGAAAATAAATAATCTCAGAATAGAAAAGCTACAATTATTACAGAATTTTTTTGTCTGGGCATATGGGAAGAATAAAAAGTATTTAAAAGTTTTACTTTTCACATTCAAAAGTAAAACTAGTTATATGATACTCTGCCTGTCCTAGAAAAAT